GTAGTGATGAAAATGTATGTGAGTGTATCATAATAACAAATAATAGATGGCTGTTTCGACACTATCAGCACCGTCATAAATATATATTCCTTTTGGGTGTAAGTCATTGTACTTGTAATACTGGTCGGCTACTTTGATTGTGGCAGTAAAATGATAATCGCTGCCGCACGTACAGGCAAATATTTTATAGCTAAAAGATAGTGGAAGTAGATGGTAAACTAAATAGAGGCACACGCAGGTATTGTTCTTACGTATCAGGGCCAACATTGAGTATAACAGGCAAGTCTTTCATTTTTGTACCTCCGACATTGATGTTAATAATGAGAATGGGTGGTCTTTCTTTGAACGTATTTTTGAATCTTTTTCTTAAACTGTTACAGCACCAATAAGACCTAAGAAAAAATGTTTAGATTAGTTTATTCTATTTTGCCGTCAAGAGTCTTGATTCTCACCTAATTTCTTCTACATTTGTTTCTGGATTACGGAATGGAAATTTCTCACCCAACATAATATCTCCACGATAATTTACAGGTTCGTTTTCACTAATAGGAATCCCACATGAGATAGCTTCTTCAGTCTCAAAATGTGGCAAGGTATTGAAGAATGCGTTGTTTTCTTTGCTGTAATAAATGAAAATTAAGAAATCCTCGTTAAGCAGAGTTTACGGGTAGTTAATGAAGTTTGAAGTGAAATTTATCCGCGTTTGAGGTACGGCTTTAGTCCGATCTTACACTTCTCAAAAAAAAAGGAATGCTACTTACTTTAAAGCAATATCAGTACTAATTAAAGTTCTTGTCCGTCTTGGACAATCTTCACACAAACATTCACTTAGGTTTTCATACTCTTGCATTGTTCGAATATATCTAAAAACATTTTCATCAACAGTGCCAAATAAATTATATTGATTGTTGCCGTTTGCTGTTGGGGAATTTAATCTTTTATGAATGTTAAGGGAAAAAATGGGTCTTTAAATAATGTTTTTTCCTGGATACTCATGCAATTAAAATTTTTTTGAAAACACAGCTTTGTAGAGCAAATGCTTCTGATCAAAATAAGACCTCGCGCAACTCTGTATGACCTTTCATCAAAAAGTTACAGGCATTTTCCTAGAAGTCCTAAAATCGACTATTTCATACAGCGTTTAATAAAGTGTTTTCACTGTAGAAGAGTTACACCTGAACGGCGTCCCAAGATTTTTAATAGGGGTTTGTCGTAGAGAGTTCATTCTTTTTTTGTTTAAAAGAGAAAAAGAAACTACATCGACTGACCGGCGTCGATTTTTGAATTAGGTCTTAGTCTTTTGTCGAACGGAGGATTTTTAGAAAATCCGGAAGGCTTTTTCGGGTTTTGGAGGTTGTTGGTTGCCTGAAAAATCAATAAAGGCTTAATTAAAAAATCGGCGCCGGTCAGTCGATGTAGTTAGATGTCTAGTTTAAAATAAAACAAACCCGAACTTTCCAGCTTGAAGTATATTAAAAAATCTTGGAACGCCGTTCAGGATCCTTTTTGGACCTTGATCTCTGGAAAACTCTTAAACCGTAAGACTTGGAGACAAAAAAAATTTTTCATTCCCGTAACTAATTGTGCCGAACATTTATGGAAAGTTTCGTCAAGATCGGATGCACGGTGTCCGAGATAATTTCTGAGGGGGGGGGCCATTAAGCCAATATAAACGAGCTGTATCCCACCCATCACTTTCCACCAGCTGAAATGTCTTACGTAAATTACAGCAGATAGGTTTCGTTTCACGATCAAATAAGGCTCGAAACTGGCTTGAATAAG